TAAAATAATGTTTTCTTATATCAAGAGAACATGAAATGCAGATAATACCTTTGGTTAGTCTGTTTGCATTGGTTTTATCTCCAGTGTAATACAAATAAGCTTTGGGGCAGAAATGTGGCTGGGGGATTTATAAGCAGGAATTAAAATTAATGTCTCCTGAGCTGGAAAAACTATCACATCAAACAACGTAGTACAAATCAGATTGTAAATACAGAATTACCCGTCCAGCTTCTCAAACTTCAGGTAAGTCTGTTCCCCTTCGTAGGGCTTGAAATCAACACAAGACTTCAGCCTGAACATCTCAAGTGCCTGCAGGATAACCCCTTTAGCATTCAGATCTGAAACACATAGCAGAGGATAGCAATAGCGGCTGTTCTGCTTTTATAATATTATAAATATCTGTAATTCTAGATAGAAAGTATGAACAAGCGTGCATTAAAATTATGAACATGTACAAAAAATATCTACCTGGATGAAAGAGCTGGAGGCTGTTAGCAGAATTCCCTGACTGTGGTAATTTTGACAGAGGCCATAGGAGAGACGATACCTTTTATTAGATAAACTGATAGTGCTGAAACAAACAAGCAGACTTCTGGACATCCAGGGGATTGCTCAGGTTTTGCTGGGTACATTTATTGCTTGTTATTATATAATTTCAAGTATTGTAAACTTTGAGCTCGGGGCTAGTAAACACAGGAGAGACCCACAGGATTTTAACACTGATTTACTATGAGTTTTTACTAACAGCAAATTCTAGATTTACTATTTTATATCTTTTTTTATTTAAAATAGTGCCTAAAATTAGATGAAAACAAGAAGGGAGAGTGCTCTGAACTTTTTTACTTATAAAATATCAGCGTTTCCTTTCTGCCTGTACAGAGCTGGGACTGTTAAGAAGAGATAAGGCACAAAGGGTGCAGTAGATCAACAAGCATGTTCTTGAGATTAGGATTTCCTGTCTTCATTATCTAGAGATCTCAAGCAGATACGTCGGTATTAGTTAAACAGGCTGCTTATCAACATCTGCCTGGTCACTGGGGCAGTTACATTTAAAACAACGTGTTTTGGGACAGAGTTGCGTTGCTCCATTTGGCCAGCAGTAACAAGGGCATTTAAATCAATAGCAAATGAAGCAAAAGTGGCCCAGAGAGCTGGGCAAAACCAGAGTATATTTAATGCAAGTAATACAATGTTACCACAATAAAAAGTCTTATTACCCAGGCTGTCAGCTAGGATGTAGGGAACGGGAAATTTCCATCTGTAGGAGCTGTTCCTCAGAGCATTCCTCTCCAGCTGTTAATGAGATCAACATGCTCATGTTAACATTTATAGCCCAATCTACACTCTTGCTGATGTTGCTTTAGATCAGCAGCACATACCGGTAAGATAATATCACCTTCAAAAAGCTTCCTTCCCGTTTCTGAAATGAGATAAACAACCATTTAGGCCAGAGTCACACATCAAGAGCTGCAATATGTGGTTTTTTTCAAAGACCACACAATCTATCAGGCTGCCTTATCAACCAACCCATCCTGCTTTAAACAGCAACTTCCCAGAAACAAGCAAACAAATAACCATTGCCACACCATAACATGCAAGTCCTCCACCTTCAGCAAAGGAGGATTTGGGGTTGAAATGACATTTCTATAGCAATTTCATAACAGCTGCCCAGAGGATATTTTATTATTTTTCCCAGGCTTGTATCCTGAAACAAGTGAGGATTTCTGAACACTGAAGTTGAGATATAGGTGAAATGGGTTTGTCTGGAAATCAGGCATCTAATAGCCTAACTGGTTACCTAACCGAGGTTAATCCTCTGGGATTCCCCAGATGATCACAGGAGAAAGATGAGGTCTCTGGAGAGGGAAGAGGCTCAGCCCACCTTTTCAACAACCTGAGCCTGAACCAAGTGCTGATTGAAGCAATTAAATCTGTGTGCTATGTCTCTGATCCAATTACAGCCGTGAGTCCACCCAGTTGCCTAAACTTAGGTGTCTGGTGCCACCTGAGGTGCACAAGGGTATCCAAAATATCCACAGAGGCCAGTAGATACAAAATTTGGGAGACTCCTTCCCCTTCTAGAGTGGTGCTGGAGGAGATGTATTTGAACTGGCAACAGACACCTATGTTTTAAGCAGCTGATCTACATCTTCCATGCTTTAAAACCACAGCATCTGAGACTCTTATTTTATACTCTTATTTTTTTAAGATGCCAAATTCCCTACACAGAGATGAGTCCAAACCTCAGCCACTGTATGGTCCTGCTAGTGTAACATTTTCATTTAGTACCAACATTTAGACACAATTTGAGCACACAGAGTTCATATTCAAACCTTTTGTTATAGCAATAACTTCAATTCTCCTTACATACATATGGAAAGAAGAAAAAAAAACCCACAGAAACTAGCACCATGTTTTCTATTCTGTCAGCAAAACCAGAGGAAACCCACACCAGAACATAAAGCACATAACAGGCAATGCCAGGAAATAAAAACTTTCTTTAAGCTTAATACCACGGCCATCAGTCATGTGTAAACAACCAACTCACTTGAGATAAATGCACATCAACAAAGCAGAATTTGAATTAGAGCCACTGCCAAGGTTTCTCTGAGCGCCATGAGTGGAGTGGAGAGGGATGCAGGTTTAGTGGAGGGGTTGCTGAGCAGTCCCCAGGAGCAGCTGAGTGTGCTTCTAAATTTAAGATTAAGATCATGGTCTCCTTATAAAATTATCCTTGTGGAAATTTCCTGGCCTTTTACCTTTTATGGACTTTTTCTCTGTCCCTTGGCCTGCTCTTTCCTTTCCATCTTCTCTGATAGGTGCCAGACTCCAAAGAAAAGGTCTTTGCCCTTCTCTCCAGATGCAGCTGGGGTTCATCTCACACATTTTTAACTGCAATACTCACCATATCCATGATACATTTGGGAATTTTCTCACACAGGAGGGATCTTTCAGTCCCCTCTGGTGTCATCACATCTGCCAGACTTGTGGTCCCCAAAAGGCTAGCTCAAATTTCTGTAATAATTCAACATTTAGCGTACTTTCTGTCCTGACTTACCTGAGTTTATTTCTGGAATGTCCTTTCTAAGCTGCCCTCCATCAACATCATCAGCTATCAAAAGAAAGTTATCACCGAAGTTAGTGACTACATGACATGAGTTTATATAATTAAACTGGAAGAGGGCAGATTTAGACTGGATATTAGGAAGAAATTCTTTGCTGTGAGGGTAGTGAGACACTGGCACAGGTTGCCCAGGGAAGTTGTGGGTGCCCCCTCCCTGGCAGTGTTCAAGGCCAGGTTGGATGGGGCTTTGAGCAGCCTGGGCTGGTGGGAGGTGTCCCTGCCCATGGCAGGGGTTGGACTGGGGGGGCTTTAAGGTCCCTTCCAACCCAAACCATTCTGTGATTCTATGACTCCCTCCTTGATGTCTGATAGTCTTCTGCTAAAACAAAAATATTGCATCCTTACCTCTGTCTTCAGCAGAGTTTTGGATCTGAAACACAGAAAGTACAGCTTCAAAATCACAGACAAATGAAATTAAATCTCACCCTGATCCCAAGCCAGAAGGTGGAGAAGCAGGTGGGAATACCGTAAAGGCACAGGAGCAGGTAAGCAGTGCTGTGAAACAACACATCCTCCAGGAATCCATTTCAGAAGCTCACCTGGTGCTACCTGCCGGTGTAGATATAGCGTCCTGCAAGCCAACGGCCTTCAGAAGTACTGATAAGCATAAGCCAACAAAAAAGTTGAACTTTAAAAGGAAGAGTAGATTTTAATCTTATGAGATAGAGCCATAAGCCAACCCAATAAGCAATCTGCCTTGCTATTTTATAACTATTCTTGGCATATTAACCCTTGTAGTAATCAGGAGCTACTGAACTATTTAATATTTCTGTGACTTCTTCAGAGATAATATCATCTTTTTTCTGCTTTATGAACCATCCTGGCCCCATCCTGACAGGGACCAACAAAGCTGCTGAGTATGGAAATAACACCCTCTTCAAAAGAAAAGGCCTATGGTCTGTAACCTGTATACATCACTTTAAGAGAAAGTGTGCTTGGTGGATTTTTTTTATATTTCTGGAAACATCTTGGTAAATGAAATCAAATTTTTGTTTTAATCAGATTCTATGAGCAAAGCATCATCTCTAATTTAAAAATAGAGTTATTTCTGTAACCAAGAGAACTGCAACACAAGATCTTCTGGTTTGGGTTTCCTCAGGTGATCTCAAAGACTTTCTCCCTCAGAGCAGGAGTACAACAAGGGGTCCTGGTTTGGTCTCGCTCACGTGCCTATGAAGCCACATTCTCCCAGTGTTTTGCATGGGAATCTCACCCAGGGCTTTCCCTAGCACAGGGACTCATGCTTATTTCTGCTCTGTTCCTCCCTATGCTTCAACTTAAACCTTTAAAAGAAAGCCTTGCTTTTCCTTCCATGTCTTCCCCCCTACCATGGGGCTCTTACTCACGACCAAGGTATTGCCATTGGGAAAACTAACATGGATTTCAGTGCTCATGGAGGTTCCAAATGAATCCCAGTTTCCAGTTCCTTGGTTGAATTCTGTGGCTGCTGGACTCTAGGATGACAGAGGACAGTGACTCCCCTGGCTGGGCTTTGCTGAGCAAACCCCTCCATGTAAGCATCGTAGGTGATAAAGGGACAGAAGAACCCAGATCGTGAATCCTGACAGTGATCAAATGTGGGACAGTCATGAAAACACACCACTGCCCACTGCAGAAAACATCTGCGTTGTTTGTGTCACCCAACACGGCTCTTCTGGACTGAAATTCAAATATTGAAGGACTGACACTGACACCAGGCAAGGGAACACCCAGCACATTTACATTCCTGCACCTGCACCAAAATCCCCACTACCACCAGCTCTATAAAGCTCCTGTTTCCATACGTGGCACTCAGGGAACAACAGCTCCTAACCTCGGTGAAGCATTGGTGCCACAGCCTACTTCTCCAGCACAGCACCGCTACCCATCTTGGAGGATGAAACCCTGTTACTCTCAAGATAAACATAATAACTCTTCATACGATGTCATGGCTACAGCTGTCATCACACTTCAGGCACTCGTCGGCATGTGGATAAACGCTTTCATTGCTTCTGTTCTTTGCATTACTTGGGTCAAAAAGAAAACCTTTAACTCGAGTGATAAGATCTTGCTGTTTCTCGGATGCTCCAGGTTTTGGTATTTATGCATTTCATTGGCACTTTCAATAGTTTCAATAAGTTTTCCCTTGTGCTTTTATGTTCACCCCTTCCCCGAGCTATTTTTATCGATTCAAAGCTTTTTAAATTTTTGCAACTTGTGGGCTTCTGCCTGTCTTTGTGGTTTTTATTGTATAAAAATTGGAAATTTCAGGCACATCTTCTTCATCTACCTGAAACTAAAAATTGACAGGATTGTGCCATGGCTGTTGTTGAGTTCAGTGTTTCTGTCCCTGGTCATCGGCGCCGTTGTCTTCAACATCACTGGTGAAGCGTTGTGTAACGACCACAATTGCACCTCCCAAGGAGATTTCTGGAAACTGAGTGCCAAAAGAGATGAACATTTTTTCCCTGCTATCTTTATCGTCGGCTTTGGATTTGCCACTGCATTCACAGCAGTAATCTTTTCTGCCTTTCTCCTCCTCTTTTCTCTCTGTAAACACAAACACAGGATGCTGGCAAACTCAGCAAGTGACCTCAGTGTGGATGTCCACATCAAAGCCATTAAATCTATTCTGTCCTTCTTCGTAATTTACAGCATTAACTTTACATGTTTGATCTTGTCACTGATTTATTCCAGGGGGAAGACAAGTCCTGAGACATTTGTCATTTTAGTACTTCTGTATGCTTTTCCGACTGTTCACTCCCTTATTCTGATTTTCAGCAATCCCAAACTGGAAAAGACACTGCTAAGGACTCTCTCCTGTGTGAAGTGCAAGGTTTGCGTGAGGTACAAACCATAATAAAAACTGCAGCCCATTAAAAATGATGATATTTTATTACAGAAACCACAAGCAATTTAATCTCCTATGCAACTCTCCAGCCAGGGTAGATGATACAGATGTTCTGTCTTCACCATCTAAGTTAAGAAAATGTCATTAAACTTATTTGAACTAAAATATTATGAGTTAAAAAAAATTATTATTGTTATCATTTGATTTAGATAATTATTTGAGTTAAATTATTGTCAATAATGAAGTAATTCAGACATCATGCATCGGCTAGCTGCAAAAGGGAAATAATACCACAAACCTTCTAAAAATGCTTTGGGCATTTGCTGCTTGAAACCACTTAACTAAACAATATGTTTATACCTATTTTGTTTTACATTTATTTCTGCTGTGGCTGTTTATTCTGTAATATTATGAGTTGTATCACTATCTTGCATTGGTTGATAACTCCTGCATGAATATGTTGATCACTAATATTCACCAAAGGTGGTTACTGACTTATAAACAGCAACACAGAAATGGCCTTTGGGTGGCCAAGGGGGGGTGAAGATCCCACTTTCCAGGCCAGTCTTATGTGTCTCTGCCCCACTTAATCACAGAATCACAGAATCACAGAATGGTTTGGGTTGAAAGGGACCTTAAAGCCCCCCCAGTCCAACCTCCACCAGCCCAGGCTGCCCAAAGCCCCATCCAACCTGGCCTTGAACACTGCCAGGGAGGGGGCACCCACAGCTTCCCTGGACAACCTGTGCCAGTGTCTCACCAACCTCACAGTAAGGAATTTCTTCCTAATACCCAGTCTAAATCTTCCCTCTTCCAGTTCTAAACCATGCAAAAGCATGGTCGCCCCTGCTCTCTGCAACTGTTCTCCTGGTCTGCTTTTGCTTTTTTGAGATCTGCTTTTACCAATAGACTCTGGCTCAGTAAAACACCTGGGAAGTTGGTTTTTGTGTGAAGTGTGGTGCGAAATAAAGTCGTTTTCATCCTGCAGTGACCCATGGGCAGATGTATGGGGTGTTTGTGCCAGCTGGGGGGGTCCATGGGGATCTCTGTTGGGCAAGGTCAATACTGCCCTGTGCTGGGAAACGACACTTCCAGATGAATCCCATTGACCCACTGCAGGACACAGCTCAGCCCATTTAGTGATTCTGGTGGCTCCTCTGGGAAAGTACCTTTAAGAAAGGGTAAAAACACTGCCCGGCAGTTTAGAGTGAAGAAAGTTGTGAGGAACAGTCCCACAACAAACAGGGTCAGAGAAGGAAAGGAAGGAGGTGCTTGAAGTGCTGGGTCAGAGATTTACTTGCAGCCTGTGGAGTGGACCATGGTGATGTAGGTTGTCTCTCTGCAGTCAATGGAGAACCACGGTAGAGCAGATATCCACGCTGCAGCCCACGGAGAGCCCATGCTGCAACTGGCTTATCCTGAGGGTCTATAGCCTATGGAAGGGACCCACGGTGGAGCAAGGGAGGAGCATGAAGAGTAAGGAGTGGAAGGGATAATGTGTTATTGTCATGGTTCAACCCCAGCCTACACAGCCGTTTGCTCACTCCACAGCCCTGGTGGGATGGGTAGAGAATCAGAAGAGTAGAAGTGAGAGAACTCATGGGTTGAGATAAAGACAGTTTAACAGGTAAAGCAAAAGCCATGCACACAAGCAAAGCAAAACAAGAAATCCATTCGCTACTTCCCATCAGCGGGCAGATGTTCAGCCATCTCCAGAACAGCAGGGCTCCATCACCTGTAACTTGGGAAGACAAATGTCATAACTCTGAATGTCTCCACCTTTCTTTCTTCTTCCCCCAGCTTTGTTTGCTGACCATGACATCATATGGCCTGGGATATCCCTTTGGTCAGCTGAGGTCAGATGTCCCAGCTCTGCCCCCTTCCAAATTCTTGTGCACTCCCAACCTACTCACTGGTGAGGTAGGGGGAGAAGCAGAAAAGGCTGTGCAAGCACTGCTCAGCAGTAATTAAAACATCCCTGTGTTATCAACACTGTTTTCAGCACAAATCCAAAACATAGACCCATACTAGCCTACTGTGAAGAAATTTAACTCTATCCCAGCCAAAAGGAGCACAGTTATGAACTGGCTGCAGCCCTCATTCCCCATCCCCCTGCACCACTCATGAGGAGGGAGTAAGGAATTTGGGAATGAAGGAGTGATGTTAGGCGTGGGAATGAGGAGAGGTGAGGGTAAGGTATTTTTGTTTTGTCTTTGTTCCTCGTGATCTTATTTTCAGCTGGAAATTAAATTTATTATCCCTAAGTCAAGTCTATTTCACCTGTGACAGTAACTGGTGAGTGATCTCCCTGTCTTTATCTCCACCCATGACCTTTTCCATCTCGTTCTCCACCCCTACCCTGTTGAGAAGCAAGAGTGAAGAAGCGGATGGGTGGGGGTCTGATAGCTGGCTAAGGTCAATCCACAACAGCAGATGACCTAAACATGAAATATTTCCAGCATGAACAGAGCAGAACCTGAATTGTTCATTTCTTTCACCAGCTCAGGCCCAGAGGGACGTCTTACCTCAGGCCAAGTGCCAAGTGTGCAGTTTTGATGCATCTCAGCAGGTTCTGCTTCTCCTTTTGTTTTAAAACGCTGCCCCAGAAGGAGTACCTTTGCCAGGTGTGGAGCTCAAAGCTCAGAGGTCTTCTGAATCTCTGCAGAGTTCAGATATACCCAAAATAATCTCCATGGAGTCATCTGAGGTGTAGCATCAGCTCTGCTGGACACAGATTCACTCTATAAGAAGCTTTCTCTCTGCTGTGTTTTTGAGAAGAATTTTTCATGTATGTCTACTGGCAAAAGGCTTCTCACACCTTCTTTTCCTCCGATAAAGGTGATATGGGCTTCTTGAAGGACAACGATGCGAAGGACTCACTAATTTCTATGGACTGTCTATTAGAAATTGACCCAGAGGAAGAGTTTCTGCTCAGAGAACATAAGGGGCCCTGGTATGCTAATCTAAAAAGTTGAAGTGAAAGCAAAAAGGCTTAGGTTGTAACCTTTTTATTTTATGTGTTGCCTTTTATGTGGCCAAAGAGCACTCTCTTCCCTTTTCCTCTCCATCTCCACGAAAATGAAAGGGGAAGAGGTTAATAAGAAAGGATAAGAAAGTGTTTTCAACCCATTAGCTTTCACTTTTTCCTGGCTTTTCCTGCAGTAGTAAAGCAAAACAAATTACATCTGTGTTGTTCCAATAAAAAGAAAGGGTTTTTGTCATCTGATCAAATTAGACACTCGGTGCACATTGTCTTTAGCTGCAGTCTGGATCAGACACCAGGCTCCACTGAGTTTCACTTCCACAGCAGGAGACTGCACCACACACATTTCCTGAGGGGAGCAGGTCTTAAACATCTCATCTGAACACACGTCCCCAGCTGAAAGGCTTTGAAAGGCCTTAAAACCACCACACCTCCCTTCTTACCCTGCTGTTGCCCAATGCAGTTGATCCTTTAGCATGGCAGTCCCAGACACTTTCACAAGACCATGGGAAATCCTTCTTTCTCCCTAGAACTGCAACATCATCCCTCAGAAGCTCCCATATCACAAGACTCAGCAGGCAAAACCAACATCTTGCAGATGTTCTTACACAAAAGATAATACTCAGCTATAGGATACTCCACCAGCTGCCCTCAGAGCTAGAAACAGGCCAGTTTGGTTTATCAGCATGGCAACAGACACTGTCCCACCTGCTGCTCCACTTGCACTGCCACTAATCCAACAGCCAAACCAACTATGAATAGAGCTGACATATGGCTCAGAAAGTGCAAATGACAAAAGAGAAAGCTGAAGCTTGACTTTGTTTGCCCAAACTAAGGCGTCTCGAGTCATCTGAGAAGTCCTGAGACATCTGCACAGGGTTGGGAGCTACAGCACAGGATCTTCTGAAGACCTACAAGTCCATCCTGGGTACCTGAAGGCATCTCAAGTGGCATGAGACACTTCTGTGTAGATGGACAAATTTGTCCTTGGAAATCTAGAAAAAGGAGATGGATCACAGAGTTGTTGGTTACGACTTCAATGCCTGAGTATTGTGTGGAGGACACCTGTAACCAACCCCAGAAGCACCAGGTTTGGGTGGTGGAGAGGTAGCAGAGGGGAAGGGTGACAGACATGTAATGAGAGGGCAAGCAGACCCATAAAAGATGTCAGAAGTCAATACAAATGGCTGCCCAGTGCTGGCATGGTCTGAAAAACTGCTTTGGGTCAAATTCAAAACATTTTTAAGGACTGAGAAGTGAAACATTTAAAAATGCTTCTGCCACAGAAAGTGCTGATGAGCAGAGGGACAGCTCAGGACAGGTTACACAGCATTCCTACCAGCATAGACATAAAAATGGCTGAGGCACTGCTAAAAATAAAGCAGTGCTGGACTTGGCAGTCACAGATACCTGAAAGCAGCCATGAGGGAGCACGTTTTCCCTTTTGCTGGGCGAAGAATGGTAGCTACAGGCTGTTAGAGCCATGTGTCCAGCAAAAGGTCAACATCAGAGTCTTCACTTCAGCAAGAAGAAGCAACTACATTCCACTACCAAAGATAAGAGAGAGGCACCACTAGAGGCTATGAGCCCCTGTAGAGCCTCCTGGTTGACTCAGGACCAGAAGCAAACAAGCAAAAGCCATGGACATCACTAGAGTGAGCAGAACCACAGTCCCAAATGCTTTAATGAATCAACTAGGAGCAAAATAATTTCAGACAATATGGGTAACTGCTGCCATTTCTGTAAATTTATACATTTCAGTGACTTAGAGTATTAGTATATTTAAACATTTTCTGTAGTTTTCGGATATTTGAGATCTAATATAGACACACAGACAGAAGCACTTCTACCTGTTCCCTTATTAATGACAGCATTTACAGTACATCACAACGATGCATCCTTGTGGCCATCTGCTTCTTGTGTCCATCCATATTTCACCCTGCAGATGCACCTGAGCTCTGCCAGTGTCTTTGCTCTGCATCACAAGTTCCCAGTGGCACCAAACAGGCAGCACACACTACTGCTTCCCCCTTTTTTTCTTATTTTTATTGTGAGCAGAGGATGTGTATTTCTCCATGTATTTCTCCTGAGAAAACGGTGGGTTTCTCTCAAGTTCTTCTTTCTTGAGCTCCCAGTCCTCATCTCTCTGGTCTAAGGGGATTCCTTTCATTGCAGCTGTCCTGCGGTAGTTTCTGCTCTCCACCTCTGCTCTGGGGAAGAAAGCAAGAGTGCTTCTTCAGATACAGAGCACAGCATGGTCACACCACTGTTCACAAGTGGCCCATCTTGTGGGATGGACCAGAGGATTATGTATGGGCAAAACCCTGTTGCCAGCAATACATGAGAAAACAGTGAGGCCCATCCTAAATCCAACAGCACTCATCACCCCAAGTGATCAGGTACTCAATGACAGTTGGGCCGAAGTGGGAAACATTCAGTAAGGATGTATGGTGAGACTGGACTCTTACCACTGGAAGCATAATTTTAACCATAAAAAGCTCTTAAAGACTGCTCTTGTGAATTTACGTGTTACTAAATAGACTTAAGCACATTCAATGCAATTGTACATGGTATATTAACTCACTGCAACCCCAACATTTCCACTATGGTCCTCCATGGGCTGCAGGGGGATCACTCCTTTGGAGTGTGGAGCATCTCCATTTCCTCCTCCCCCTCGGACCCTGGTCTTGCAGGTCTGCTTCTCACACTTCCCTCATTCCTCATTGCTGGGCACCATTTTTGCTCTTTCTTACATATGTTTTCCCAGCTGAGCCACCAGCACTGCTGATGGGCTGAGCCATGCCCTGCGGTGTGTCCAGCATGGTGCAGCCCCGATCTCTTTTCTCACAGACCCCCCTCCTGAACCCCACCACTGCCAGCATGGGCACGGATGTCCCAGTTCTACATCTTATCCAAGAGAAGACAAACCCTTTTTTCCTACTGCAGAGGTCTGATTTTATAGGTACTTAGTACTTGTGGACCTCTGTCAAAAATACCACCAAATATTGGGAAAAATCCTTTTTTTCTGCAATACAGCAGCACTGTCACATCAGTGTAACGTTATTCTGGCTGAAAGCACAGAGCAAAGCCAGTGGCTCCACACAGATGCATAGCTTGGGCTTACTATACATATATATAAGTATGTATGTATCTATGTATGTGTGTGTATATATATATACACACACACACCCCCCAACACATGTATGTGCAGAGGTGTATATACATATGTGTGTGTGGATAGAGATATGTATAGAGATGATAGAGATAGAGATAGAGATAGAGAAATACACGTCCTGGGCTTAAATAGCAGGAGCCTTTGGTGCAGTTTCAGTGCTCAGCACTTTGCAGAGAGGCCAGCAGCAGGCACGAGCCATGAGTCCCTGTGTCACCTCAGTGCCATTCCTGGCAGCTCTCACAGCACCCAGGGTGAAGCTTTTCTTATGCAAAAAAAACCCCAAACAACAACCTGATGTAAATTATACACCTGTTGCTCAGAAGCAGCTGTGCTTTGAAGGCTGTTTCCTGTTCTTTGCATGTCCATGCAAACCTCAGTGAGTGGTACAGATACTCTGTAGCAGAATATTCCTAATATTTACATGTTACTAATATTTACATGTGGAAACGTGTGATATTTCCATGTTGATGCAAACAGTCCCCAGCACAGAGCATTCGCACAGCCCAGGAAGGCATAAGTTCATGCAGGCAGCAGTGCCTGGGGTCAGACAACCAGTATACAAGGACCACAGTGGTGCTAGAGGAGGCTGAACTGAGATTTAGGAAGGATTTGGATGCTCATAGCTCTGTTTAGATATGCATGTCAGTCCTGCATTTGGCACAGGCTGTTATTTTTAGAATTGCCTTTTCTCTCATTTTGCATACCAGGCAAATATCTAAAATTGATGGTGATGCTCTGTAACAAAATATCCCTCATATTTACATACCAGTACCACAAACACCATGAGCAGAGGGCAGATCTACCCTGTGCAGCACAGCGTTAGCACACAGGCACACACACACTTCATTTTCTGCCTGCAGTACACCTCGGCACTGCCCAGCTCCTGTCTGACCATGGACATCACCTCTGGGACCTTCTGCACATCTGAAGGAGCAGAAGGTAATAGTGATTACATTACAAATGCGAGCGATTCCTCCTAGTTAATTCCAAATCTGCTGACATGAGCAAGTGAAGCTGTTGTATGAAGGTGAAGGTGTCCACTGTGGCTAGAAATTATAATGGTTGGGCTTAAAAAAGTGGTTCCTGAGCTCCAATGATAAACTCTTGGCTGCCCACAGGCTGCATTATGGCTGTGAGGTGATCATACAGGCTTCATATGTCTTATGAAGTGTCCAAGACATGAGCTTTCAAAGCATCTTCCTAGTTACTAAGTTCTCCCAGCCATGCTCCTGGCTGAGCCATGTAGCCACAGGGTGAGTCAGGCAAGCACATGGCTCTGAAAGACAAGTTTTCCACTTTAAATTAGTCATTCACCCCAGAAAACCCTCCATCAGCCGCATGAATTGCCCTAGGCTGTTGCCTAGGTGGCTTAGATTGGGTGTCAACCATCCTGTCAATCATCCTGTCAACCATCCTGTCAATCATCCTCCCAGTCACCTCCATCAGTGCAGGCGCCTCTCTGCTGCAGGCATCAACATCGGCACCATCCAGGCAACGTCTCCACCCTTGCTGTCCCCTCACCACCACAGCTCTGGTGCACAGCCAAGCACACGGCAAACGCTACAGACCTGGCAGGACTTAACGGCGAGATTAGTGTGAAAATGAGAGCACTGAAAAGGTAAGCAATTGTGGTAAATGATTAATCGAGGACAATAAGCCTGCAGGCCTTTCACTCCTAGGACAGACAATATTTACTGTTCTGATATAGAAACCAAGCCAGCCAAGAACTGAGAAGAATACGAAGAGAATCTTTCCTCTGGAAGAAAGCATTCAGTTCTCAAAGAGCTGGCAAAGCTCAGGTTTTCCCAGCTGAGGTCTAGGTAGTACAAACCTAACTAGCAAAGCTTAGGTATCAGCTGCTTGTCATTTGAATTTCTTTAAACTGAAGGTCCAAGGGCAGAAAGAGCTGACTGACACAGGAACATGTGGCTCTGCTAGGAAGGCTCTGTACAAGGGGATTTTGCACAGTTTGGGTGTCTCCTCCTAAGGACACTGATGCTGTGTCAGCATCAAAGGTGGGCATGGAGCATTGCAGCAGGAACAAGCAAGCTGTAGAAGTATAGCAAAAGGACAGCAGTACCTACAGAAAGGTTTACGTGGACTGATAAAAGGTGGCATTTGGTAGGCATTGGCCACCTCAGATGTTTGCTGAGCCACCATGCCTGATTTTGAACTTGGCACCTCTTGTGCTGAACTGGCAAATTGGAGGCTTGGAGTTGGATATGTGTCTAAAATATCCATTATTTATATGGTGACAAGGCAGTCTGGAGAACGTGGCAGCGGTAAAAACAACAGCAGTTAAGGGCTATGGTGGGACTGTAAATTCACAGAAAAACTCAGAGGAGGAAAAGCCTTTGGGTGCTCTCAGCATCTCAAGGTCTGCTGGGTACAGGTTTCACAAGCGGTGTATTTAAATACCAGGTAATGTGTGGGAGTACGATTGGCTCTGAACAAGCTGGTTAGCTTCTGGTGCTTGTCCCACTGCTCTAGAGAGATGCAGATTTGAGACACAAAAGGCCTCTGAAGGACAGCAACCTGATCCAGGGAAACAGCTTTCCAAAATATCTGTGAGCCAAATCGGCAGCTGAAAAACAAGAATAGTAATTGGGAGCCCTTTAAAAGCATAATACTCCTTGCATATGGTGTCACAGTGATAACTGTAAAGAGTTAAGACAATGAGTTTTCCAAAATTTTGGAGTAATATGTGGCCACCCTATTGACAGACCAAATGGTATAATTTTAAATAATTATGTACAAAAAAAAGAATGTCTCTGTTCTTTACTACAAGAAAAGCCAAATTATATACATACACTAACATCAGCTGCTAAAGGGCTCTTCTTAAACAACTCAATCTCTGTACTCAGTATTTGTCACTCTAAGGAGTTAATACTTGTTAGCTCTTGCTTTCTTTTCCATTGTTTAATAATCGCTCTGTAATTACCTTATAAAAACAATGATGTCATGAAGTGGTAATGGTTTTGAAAACATACCAAGGCAAACCATAGAAAGCAGTGGAATAAATGAATGTATTCTCCATGACAAAGACCCGTGTTTGCTTATCTATTACTTGTGTTTGGCTTTAATAGGCTTTAGGTGGAAAGATAACACACTTGTATTTGTTCTTGTTTTCTATAGAGTGTAATTTTCATGGCTGGAGCCCTGTCAGCTGCCGCAGTGGCACCGGCCATCGCTACTCACGTTTCTAAGAACCTGGAGCAGTCCTGGTGGCCGTAGATCTCCGCAATCCTCCTGGGAGTGTCGCCAAAGAGGTCAACCACGTCCATGTCGGCGTGCAGTGCATGAAGGGTGCGAAGCACCCCCAGTCTCCCCGCCTCAGCAGCAAAGTGGGCCGGGGTCCAGCCCACGTCGCTCCGCAGGCAATGCCGGGCACCGTGATCCACGAGGAGCTTGACCAGCTCCGATCGCCCTTGCATTGGGCAGCAAAACAGGGAGAGAAGATGCACCTGCATTAGACCTTCAGGATGCAGAAGACGGTCACACACAGCTGATCATCATTGCCTCAGTTATGTAATGATGGGTTTTACCCACGACCTGGCCATTTGATTTATCAAATAAATGATAACTCATCCGAAAAAGCTGATTTTTTTTTCCAAACTAGACTGTTCCAGAAGCATTTTACAACAAAAAACAACAATAAAATAAAAAAAACCTTTCTACCCATTTCTGAACAGCACATCTCAATTAGTCATTGACCAATAGGCTATTGTCTATTTCGTTGTTTCATTTGTGGTTTTAGTTCGATGCAAAATAAAATTTAAACATTATAAAACTGGAAAACCTGTGAGCAGCTTTGCTAGAACAAAGGTTTTCTGACAGAGATATTAGAAATTACACTATGTGGAATTATACATTATATATTGTTGCATTTGTCTCTTTTCTGGGCTGCAAAGGGATATTTGACTTTACCAGACACTTTTGATGGTGAAGGACCAAATGAGAGCTGCAAACAGCTCTGGTCCTGTGTTGTTTCTTTGACCATGTGGGATAAAAGGAGGGCACACTGTAATTATTTTGTTCTATTTGGTTTGATAAATACTTGCTATAAATATAGTGGGTCTGGCTTTTTGCTTATTTGTGTACATGAGAAACAACTCCTCTGCACTGCATGAAGTCACCTCTTAGCAAAGTAATGTGGGGGACAAGCAAACATGGTCTATGTATTTATCATGTATACTGTAAATTTTCATGGGGGAAAAAGCTAAAAAATCACTTTGATAGTAATCCCACAAATTATATTGGAGGCAAAGTTTAATTTAAATTAGTATTTTTCTCTTTTTTGCTCATTAAGGACAATATGATCAGCGGGTGCCCTTACCTTTTGCAGCAGCCCAGTGCAGTGGGGTCCTGTCATGCCAGTCAACATCCTTGTGATTTGGGTCGCAGCGCCCCATCCTCAGGATCTCATCCACCAGGTCGTAGTCCCCCAAAGCCACGGCTTCGTGCAGCTCTGTCATGCTGCACAGTTCAGGAAGGTGCCTGGTAAAAGAGAGATGGTCCAGAGCAATTTTAACAGAAGCAGCATCTGGATTACAAATAAGACACATACTGGGAGAAACCAGGATTGATAAGGAAAAAGGAATGAAAGGGAGGAAAATAATTATACTTTATCTTCAAACCAGTGTTCAAAGAGTGATGGTGATGTTTGGTTTGCAGCCGTGGAAATCTGGAGCAGAATGCAGCCCTTTATAAAAAGGACTCGTGGATAAAACCACACTGCATTTCTTAAGGATGTTGCTAACAAACAGCCAGCTCAGGCCAAACATTTGCCACAGGTTTGTTGTTGCTCACTTACCATGGAAACTGGCTCCTCCCTTGCCAATGCTGCAGATCCACTATTGGCAGTGTTTTATTGCAATGAAATAAATGTCTGTGCAAGTATCTTCTGGGTTTTTTTTGGTGTAAATAATCGAGCTATGGCAAGTTGCTTAAAAATCTCATCTCCACAGCCATACTTTGCACTTTCCACTCCCATACAACAGACTCCTATCAAGAAATGCAAGCAGATCTTCAGCCCCTGAAAGGCTGTGGATTTCAATAATTATATTTATTCAATAATAATAAGGAATAATTCAATAATGTGCTAAGGAATATTTCCTAGCTGCAGAGAATTTAAGCAGCTTGCAAGGATCACTGCACTATCCCATCATCCTGAGGATGGAAATGCTGCAGTATTTTCTCCAATCTGGCCAAATCAATGGGGAGAAAACTTTTATATTTCCATATTGACAGCTGGTCCTGAGCTAATTAGTCCAGTCTCCCTCATAAACCAGAAGAGTTTTAGGATTTGCTCCAGCTTTTACATTGCATTTACTTCATTGCGTAATTTTCACAGATTGAAGAGTGTGATTTCCCCATGTTGGAAAGGAACAACATTGGAGCTTGCAGAGGCTGCTGTGAGGGAAGGTTTGCAGTCCTAGGTGCTACATCCTGGGAGCCAGAGGTGGATGGGGCCTTTTCCCTGCTTCCAGCTACCATAAACACCTCAACCACATCCCAAATCCAGGCTGGAAGGACACATCACCATCACTACCCTGCTCTCTTGTAAGAAAAAGATGAGATACAGAGGTCAAAGGGAATCGCAGCCTCTGACTTAGGTGGTTGGACTGTGTAGACCAGATCCAAGAGAAAGACCCATACATGACTTCTACTGAGCTTGACTCCTGGTCATCTGGGAATATCTGAATATATTTAAAAATATAATAGATTTTTGAGCTCCTCAGTGGGACACAAAAGTACCATTGGTATTGGCATGTCTCTGCTTCATTAGCACTCGTACACTGCCTCCTCCTCCTCATTGCTTCTCACTAACCTTGAAGAACCTGTTCCTTCAGACTAAATAGAGTTATCCTCCAAGACCTTTCATCAGCATTAAATCTATCCTGAAAATGTTACACTTTAATGGAAATTGAAATGAGAGCTGGACAAAAGCACAGGAAAAAAGGAGAGGGAGAGAAGGCAATGATCCCGCCCCAGGAGTTCACCAGCTCTCCTAGGAGATAGCCCCTGGGTGCAGGTTCATAAGTAATTTAGGTCAAACTAAATTTTACCTTCCCTCCTTCCTCCCCCTGCTGCCTCCCTCTGTTACGGCTGTTTCATCAGCTGGATCAACCTGTTGACCTCTCAGAAAACTAATCCTTTATTATGGGTGCTGGTTTTAGGGTTAATTCCCTAAACTCAGCATTAATGAGGGTGCGCAAATTCGGAGTGAGCGCAGATCTGCCCCATCAGTAGGGGCCTGCACCTGATTCACCTTAAACCACCCCAGAAATTGCACCCAAAAGTAGGATCGGCTTCCTTAGGGGGTTGTTATCCCCTTTTCTTAGAAGATTGGGATTTTTACGGAGGGACCTCCTCACAAAGCTGTTGGCATTGCAGCTCTTCCGCGGGATGTTGCAACCTGGCCGGAGGAATTTTCTCACGGGTATTCGGGTGCTCGCCCCAGCCCCACGCTGCCACGCTCGGCAGCGCTGTGAGGAAAGCCAAAAATTCACAGGCAAAACAAGCCGGCATCTAAACCCGTCCCACAGCCCGGCATCGAAGCAGCCGCACGGGGCTTGTGGCGTTTTATGGGGATGGCTCCATGCCAGAAGCTTGTTTTCCAGGCCGGGAGAAGATCTCTCCCAGAAAGATTGTCTCATCTGAAAACTAAGGCAAAGTTTGGTCCCTCCCCTTCGGGGAGAGCCCGGCAGTCTGTTTGCCTCCCCCTGCCCGAGCGGCCGCCTCTCGCCTGGCTCCGGAGGGCCGCGGGCGGCCGAAGGGTCCATCCTGCGCCTTCGGACAGCGGGACGGGACCGGAGGGCGGCCGGGACAACGCACACCGGGTACGTGGAGCGCCGGGAGCTGCTGTAGGGGGAAAACAGGGTCTGGGGAGAACGGGGAGGAGCGACGGTGGCGTCAGGGGGATTTTAAGGAGCTGGGTAGTTTCTGTGCAGCTTGCCGGTGCTCCCGCTCCCCGGATTCAGCCTGCTCTGTCCGAAGCCTGTCCCAAATCCTTGAGGGCTTGTGCTGCTCCGCTTCCTCCCTTCCAGCCCCTTATCTGTCGCCAAATCCCTGCGTGTCCCTGCGGAGGGGTGATTTGCTCTGTGTAAACTCCAGGGGGGGTGGGATATGGTGGACGTGCCCCTTCCCTGCTGTTGTGTACAGTGTTCAGGGAAAAGTCACCCACCTCCGGACACGGATGTGCCCGGGGTGGGGATGGAAATCAGCAGGGGAAACTCGGTCTGATGGAAGGGGAAAAAAATAATAATAGTGAACGTGATTAAACTCTGCTTCAGGCGTCCAGGATCGAGACACGGGAAACTGAGGAAGCCCCATGCGTGCCCTGCTTTGGGCAGGGGTTTGGACTCGGTGACCTCCAGCAGTCCTTCCCCATCTGAATTCTTCTGAGGGGCTGAAAGGGACACAGAGCAGGAGGTTTTGGGTGCTCTGTCAGCACAGCATTCCTCTCCCCCAAACCCAGCATCTGCAAGGGGGACACCTGTGCCGGACCCTGCGCCCTGGCTGCTGTTAGAGCCGGTGGAGAGAGAGGCAGTGGTTTTAGGATGTGGTCTCCCCGGTGTGTTTTAAGCCCAGTGAGCTCAGATACAGGTGACAAGGTGGTGGACTGTAATGTCAGCGAGTTGAACACGCTGGGAGAGCCTGCCTATACTTTACCCTGTGACACAACCATCAGAGCCTCTCCAGGAGCAGCAGGGGGTGGCTCTTTGGGCTAGGAACAAAGGGTGGCAATGTCATCTGGACTTGCACTTGCCAATCCTGCTGATGTGATTTACAGCAGCGAAGGAGCTGTTGTGACTTACTGCTGGTGACACGTGGGATCCTCTAATGGGCAGCTCTACGAGGAAACTGGAGATGCTCAAATCTCTATCTCTGGCTGTCATTAGTGGTTGGCCTCCCCTTTTTCAGTGTCTTCTGGAAATGAAACACTTTCGCCCTTCAAAAATCTGCTAATATTATGTGGGGAAGTGACCTTTCTGCAGTGGAGCTGTGCCTGCAGAGAAGTGAGAGGGGATGTGGCATTTAAGAGCAGGGACCAGACCTGGGGCTCTCAGGTAAATGCTGACATAACACTTAGGGGTGCTTTTTCCCCAGGCCCAGTGATTGTTGCAATGTTTTGGTATGTGGGGCAGGGCCTAAGGTGATCCCATGCCCTGGTGATGAGAAACTGCTTCTCCTGGTCTCTGTACCCCACCTTGGCAAAGGAGATGTACGCCCTCTCCTAGCCCCACGTGCCATTGTGATGTGCCATCACAGCACTACTGAGGTCGGCATCACTTCTGCACTAAACCATGCCAAGGTGTCAGATGGAGGGAGCCCTTAAAACACACAGAATTCTTGTTTACTGGGAAAAGAAGTGGCTCAGATCAGTGGAAAAAATGCCACATTTGCATTTCAGTGACAGCCTCAGCCATTTACTCCCTGCAACACAAAAGGCGGCAGTGTGAAGGACTCTCCTTCAGCTCCCCCACGTTGGCAGCCTTCAAATAAAAAACAAGCCAAGGTCAAGGGAAAATAAGAGAAAAAGAGGAAAAACAAGGAGGAAAAAAAATAATTATGCCCTTGTAAAACCTCTTTTACCACTGCCCACTATCAAAGTGAGAGCTCCTGCACAGGAACTGGTTGCTGCTTGCTCGGAGGGGTCTTGCATGGCCCAGACCTCCCTTCAGCCCCTTCCTCCCTTGCTGCAAAAGCTGGCAGCCCTCCCACCCCCAGCTGCTGCAATGGACGCTCATGGAGGTGGCAGAGATCAGGTTCTGTCAGGCATGGGGACAGCACCACCATCCTCTGTCCCCATCCACCAGTAATGTCCCACAAGCTTCCTGGAGATCCTGAGCAGCCTGAGGAACAGCAAACCCACTTCAGAAGGTGCTAGGAAGAAGCGCACAACCCCATCCTGCCACTCTCATATGCATAAGCTCTCCTGCTGCAAGTCCCCAGAGTGCTGGAGGGGTGACCTTGCAGGATCTGGCCCAAAAAATTGCAATCACAGAGTGGTCAGTGTTGGCAGGGACCTCTGGAGATCATCCAGTCCAACCCCCTGCTGAAGCAGGTTCACCTACAGCAGGTTGCACAGGATCATGTCCAGGCAGGTTTTTAATATCTCTAGAGAATACCTCCAGGCTGGATTGCTCACAAGGACCCATGAAAGCCAGTGCTGATTTATACTGATGGATCCAGACTTGGGATTTAAAAAAGCCTCTGTGTTTATCCAAGTGTTGAAGCTGCTTCCTGAACCCTTTCAATCCCTGGCTCCAGGGCCGCTGTGGGAACCGCCCAGCCACAGCACACAGGCTCTGGCAAAGAAATTCAAGCCCACGAACTAAAGGCAAAAACACAATAAAGAGGAGGAAGCCATCACCTTCCTGACTGCATTTGCGAGCAAGAACGTGGGTGTGCTGCTGTCAGATGTAGCTTCCATTTTCAGACTGAGAGGACACCCTGTTTATCGTACTTGAAGGGGACTCAGCTCTAGTTTGAGGCATGTGTGGTCTCCAGCTGTTAAAAATTTTGGAGCAGGGCACTCATCTCAGGTCTCAGCTACTGTACAACCTGCAGGGATGCAGAATTCCTGACTTCAGACACACACAGACATATAAACACACAGCCTGATGTGCATGAGGATTTGATTTCCAGCACTGCAGGAGGAAAGTGAAGGTGATGGATGCTGTTATCCCCCAGTATCTGTAGGAAAATCAATTCCCACCACTTAACAGCCTATGGGGTTTTCGATTGTTTATCTTCTGCTGCAGATGCTGGAGGTGCACAGATGAATGATGGAAACTTGGTTTAAGATTAAAAGAACAGGTTGATGATATAAACTACAGAGGCTAACAGGCTGGAGGTTTGAAATTTCCTTTTTTGCTGTTCCTTGGAGGGCTGGACAAATGGGGCAGAGCAGCAGTTTAGAATCCAAGTAGTAAAATACACAGGGCACATCACTGTGCTGTAATTTAAATTCTCCCCAGAAAAGTAAAGCAGAGCAAATGGACCAATTTTACTTACACCTGAATTAGCTACCTCCTGAACTTCCCAAGAAATAATGACATTATTCTGGATGAAAGCTGGCCTTTAAGAAAATTCAAGCTTCAGGTTCTAAGCATCTTTCCAATTTGTATTTCTTACCATAAGCAAGTTGCATGCCCTGAGAGAAAGGACGTTGAAGTGTTAAAGTTTTACTGAAATAACTTCAAGTATAAACCAGATTAGTTGATAGGATAAGCAAAGAGGTTTCTCCACCTCTTTTCTGTCCTTTTCTTAATATCTATTATTGCTTTAAAAGTTAATGCTCTGCTTAATACATTTGGCTTATGAGACTGGTAGGAATTTTAACATTTAGTTAAAAGACAGCTTTTTAAAAAACATCCATAATATTTAAAGACAGTTTCTGGTCATTCAATACCTCCAAAACACCCCTCACATAAGCACCTTTCCTATTCAGAAATCACGCTAAAGCACCCAGATTGAGAGTGGTGGCTGCACTGAACTCCAGCCCTTTGGACTTGGGACGGGCAGTCACAGCTCTGCTCCTAAGCCTCTGCCAAATCCTTTCGTAGCCCTGGGTAACGGAAAGAAAGCATTTCTAGCAAGAAAACAATTTATAACTCAGTAATAGCCTTGTAGCTATCAAAAAAAAGAAAAAGGTTACATAAAAAGTTACATAAAATAAGTTACATAAAAAAAAGTTGTGGACGATGACAAACAGGGCTTACTGGAATATTTAAAAATCAGAATAAACTGTCAGAGAAACTCCATCATAAAAGAGCACACACATTACTCAAACAACCTAAAAAAAAAGTTTTATTTTTGCTTTTCTGCTCTTTATTTCAAAGGGGAATAGAGTTCCCAACAGCCCTCAAAGGCCACAGGTACTGATTTTTCTTCAGCTCATGTGCTAAACACAAAAGTTCACCCAGCTCTGGAGTTGTGGTCAGGACAGGTTTTGCTTCAACGCCTCCCTGGTCAGATCCGGCTCCGCAAATGATGCCTCAGTGTCAGCTGGAGCCCACACAGCAAAGACACTGAACTCTGAGAATCAAACTTCCCTTTATGACTTCACATGAAAATAAAGTTGGCGCTTTCTTTTGCCTTTTTTAATTACTTTTTTGGCTAAAGCTTTACAGTTCCAGAAATGCAGTACTTGGCCACCTTGTTTACCATTGATCCCAAACAACCTTTGCATTTCTCCCATATACACAGTTCCTTGGTAGCAAATGAAAGCCCTTCCAGAAGAACCTCCTCTGGTGATTGCACCCACATCGGCTGAAGGAGGAACTGGCAGGCTTTTGGGGCAGCCTTGTACAAAAGCAGCAGCGAAGCTGCCAAACTCAGTCCTAAAGGATTTAAAGTCCCTTCCAGCAGCTATTACTAGCAGCCAAGCACTTAAACCCCACCGCATCCTCTCTGGCAATCAGGCAGAGATCTTTCCAAGCACTTTTGCTGTATGGGACTTGACGCAGCCAGGTTATCAGATGTTTTATCAGAGTGATGGATGTGGAAAGGACATTTCTCTATGTGGATGAATGGAGCCGTTGGCTATGAAGGGAAGCAAGGAGCAGAGCAATACTTCTCTAGAAGTGAGCACACGTCCTCCTCACCCCCTCTCCACCTGTCTTTGGATGGGGGTAAATATTGGATGGTGGCACCGCTGTGGTTTTACCAGTCCGTGCTTGTTCCCAGGTTTGTCCTAAGGGGCAGAGTGGTGAGGGCAGTCAGCAGAGGCAGGGCAGGCAGCACATCCCTAGGCGGCCAGGTCGAAGTCATCCCGCTCCTGGTTGTAGTCCAGCACCTTCTGCCGCAGGCGAGAGGCATCCACCCAGGTGATGAAGTCCTCCACGTTGCGGGGGACGAGAACAGCGGGGTCGGTGACCACCTCGGGCCCCACACGGACGTGTCCCTGCTCCACGAAGGTGACGGCGTGGCGGAGGTTCTGGGCCATCCGCAGCTTCACCAGCAGGCAGGGCAGGCGCCGGCGGCAGAAGGCGGAGGCCGAGAGGCTCTCGCAGACGGCCAGCGACTGCCGGCTGTTCACCAGCCCCAGCCCGTACAGCTTCTCCAGCAGCGCGGCGGCGCAGCGGGTGCGGAAGGCGGCGCTGGCCGGG